TTCATCATTTAATCATTTGTTTAAGCATTGTGTATTAATGTGTGAATGTGTTTTGTTCAATAACTTTAATGTTATTCATTATTTTTGTCAGATTTCGTTATTAATTCTTTATAGCATTTGTACTCTTTGTTATTCAAGTTTATACTCAAATAGATTGTGTGTATGCTTGTGTATTTCGTTTGATTATTATGCATACGTCTGAATAGTTTGTTAATCATTTGGTATAGTGTTGTTTTAGCAAGCATAAGTTTGCAATTTCGTTTGTTTTATTTGTATACATTATGATACATTGTTTAGATTTGCTCAGTATTGTTTGTCTTCTGTTTGATGACAAAAGTATTCAAGCTATAGTGTTTTGTTTCTGTTCCATTTATGTATTTTATTCTTTTGTGATAGGTACAAGCTTAAGCAAGGCTGTTAATGAAGAATACACTGTTATGATATTGTTTGAACTTCAAATAGCTAATGATATGCTTTAAGTATTGATCATAGATTTATTCTTTGTAAATTCTATCTTTCTGCTGTTTGTAGTGATCTATTAAATCTGTCACACATTGTGTTTAATCATTTGTAAAGTGTTTGATTGAGTTCTGAACTTATGTTTGTTTCTTTGGATTTCGTTCCAACGTTTGTTTGTCTTTTGTGTACTTGGTGGTAGTGTTTGTTCTGTTGTATAGCCCTTCAGACTATCCAATATTAGGCTCTGATGTTTTGTAGCATTAGTTGTTTTGTTTTGCATCTGTATTATTGTATTTTGTCATGTTTTTAAGTGATATTTAATTGTTTATATTGTTTATACTGATTGTATTAATTGTATTGACTTAATACTTTGTTATCATGTATATCTTATTGATATATTATATTGTTACAATGTATTTGTAACTATTGTTTGTTTGATTTCACATTGTAATAGTAATTGTGTAAGGTATAAGATATGTATTTGCCTGTATAGTATTGATATTGTGTCAATATTATGTATATATGCATCATTATATTGTTTCATTGTTCATAGCATTATGTTTTAATTTAATGTAATACTTTGTATAAGTATATATGTTTGTTATTATATGTTTAGACTGTTTGTAACATTGTTTTGTATGTTTTATTACTTGTTTTATGTGTTATTATGTGTTTGTTCGATTGTATTTTGCATACAACATTGTGTTATTCAACAATTAATAGTTTTATACGTTCGAATGCATTATTATTACTTTGTATGTTTGTATATTTGTTTATCTATGTGATATGTTTGTATTTTGTAAATATATGTTATTTATTGTGATCGTTCATTTGTGATAGTATAAATTGTTTTTATATTCGAGTTATTATGCTTTAGTAGTATTTATACTCTTGTTTTCGTTTTATTCGTTTGCCTAATCATTATTAGATTGATTATACGTTTGTAATATATTTCTTTATATTGTTATTATGCTTTGCTAGTGTTGTTCTTTCGTTTATAGTATTAATCATTTATATTATTGATATACTATCAAATGTTTGTTCATTATGTGAGACATTATTAATATAATGTGTCTCTGTAGTGTAAAATGAAGTAATTCAGTGTTTGGATATAGTATTATTGAGTACTCATTGCATTTAAAGCAACTAGTTCATCTGTCCGTATGTCTTAGACATCTGATACATTGTCTGTATCTAATATATGTCTTGTATTGTGTATCCAATACATGTCTCGTTAGTTTAATAAATCAATGTGTGTTTAGGATGCTCAGACAGGTGTGTCTAGGTCCACATAGATAATATGTTCTGGTTACGAGTATTGTATCATATCTTGTTGTATAAAGTGATTGTAGTCTTCCAGACAAGACAATTCACATTTAGTATGCTCAGATGAGAGCACCAAAGGTTTGTAGACAATTAGAATGGATTGTATGTGTAGAATCAAATTGATTCAGCATTAAATGGAGTAGTTTGATGATACTTATTGAGTTTAGTATGATTGAGCATATCATATCATTTGTACTATGGTATATAGTACACCAAAGTGTTTGCAATGACAATTGTGGTACATATAGTCATGCATATAGCCAGTGAGGAGGAATCATAATCATTTAGATGATGATTTCGAAGAGTCGTGTTTGTAGAGGGTAAGATAAAAAGTGTAGTAACAATGTAGACATGAGCAGGGAGTGCAAGGCTCATAACCTGTTAGTGTTTTGAGGTTGCAATGATTCCCTTAGAGTAGTTCACACCAGTAGGGGTTCAGTGGGCTCTGCTCATGGTGTGTAGGCATCAATACAAGTCAACTGCATAGTTGGTAATGTGTTGTGTACCATTATATGTGTCCCTGTGAGCTTCATCGTCCTTATATTAAGTATTATATATGCTATCTAATATTGTGTGTCTTGGATGTATGTCTCAGAAGACATGTCTAAGACATATGATGCATTTATCCAGAATAAATGCTAACACAGTCCTTTCATTGTTTTTCTGTCTAGCAAAGCTATGTAAAGTTGTCAAGATTAGGGTCCATCAGCTTCATAGTAATTCTAATCCTTCTCCAGCTAAGGTTGTAATTGAACCTAGGGAGCAGCTCACACCTGAGGAAGAGGAGCTTGTTGCTTCTCTTACTAAGAATGATACTAGTACATATGATGATAGGCAATCAGTTCATAATACATATGTTACTACTTCTATTTGAAACAAAGCTATTGCTGACATACAAGGAAGGGGTGTACAGGTTGAGCAGAATGAGTTACAGAGTACAGAAATGGTTTTATATAAGGTATTCATACTCTTTCTTTCAAATATATTATACTAAAATAATAATTAGATTGCTAGTCTTACAAAACAAGTAAATGATTCACCACATTTGAAGGAATGGTTTAATAAGTTGGTTGATACTAAAGTTAATAATCCTAACTCCAAAATTGATAGTAATAAGCAAATGCTAGATTGCCAAGTTGCTACTTGGTAGAATTCTGATTTTGCTTGTATTGAATTATACCTCCTCTTATACCCTGTTGTTGAACAGTTAAATTGGTGTCTAGCATTTGAAACTTCAAATTTCATTCTTAATTCTTCTCAACAAACT